TGTTTGGATAAGGCGACTTGAGGTAAAGGAGGACGGCCAGGCTGCTGCTGGGCCTTGTGGATTTCATATGGTGCAGTCCTTCCCCCACCCCCACCCCATCTGCGCAGAGCCTCAAAGCGTGGCACCCCTGTTCCGCTGCCCAGCTTTGCTGCCTTCTCCCCAGCCTCTGGGGGCAGGGAGGGACCAGCAAGAAAGCTCAACAGAACATCTCCCCTCCTGCTGAATTAGTGAGAGGGGAGGCATTCCAATACCCAGCTTTGTCGCCAGACAGGAGGGGGAGATCTCCCCCATCTGCCTGGCAGTGTGACCGGGCTTTGCACTTAAGGGAGAAGCCAGTCCCTGAGCAGGAGGAGGGCATTCAGAAAGGATTTCCCTCCCTGCCTGGCACGGGAGACTTACAGAGTATTCCCCCCCCCCATCTTGCGGGCAACAGCAGGGTGTTTCACCTCCAGTGCTGAAAAGCATCATTCCCTCTTCTGTGCAAATATGATTCCTGGCCTCCACTGTCTGTGGTTATCCTAGTTACAGTCCACACTGGGACTCTGGGACCTAGCTGTTTTATATAGGTTTGCAACCCATAAGGTTTGTGTGCCCACCCCCCACTGCCCTGCACAGGACATACTTTTCTGTTGCCCACCGTCAAAAGTCCCTCCCATCTGAAAAATGCAGGTGTAAATCTATTTTGGAAGTTTGTTTCTTCACTGTGCATTTAGACACCTCTTAGGATAACATAACCAGTGCATGATGGTTTTCATCTATGCTTGGATAACCTTGGGCACCATTTTGAATTGAGATGGCAGAGTGAACTTTTCAAAACTGTACTGGTGGCTTTTGGTTCCTCAGAATTCCTAAGCAGCCCCAGGCAGTGGCGTAGCGTGGGGGTGCAGGGGGGGCCGGCCGCACCAGGCGCAACATCTGGGGGGCGCTTGCACTCACAGCTCTCTGCCCCTACCGGGTTAGGGGGCGCAAATTACTTGCCTTGCCCCGGGTGCTGACAACCCATGCTACGCCACTGGCCCCAGGTACAAACCTGCTAAAGATAAATAATAGAAAACTCGATCTTTGACCAACTTTCCCCAAACTGTTGCCTTCCAGCTGTTTTCAGTTTTCAGGTGTTTTGGCTGTGCTGGCTGGGGCTGATTGAAAGTTGCTGTTCAAAACATCTGGAGGGCACCAGGTTGGGCAAGGCTGGCCTAGAACCTTCTCTAAGGAACAATAAGTATTAAGTCCAACCCTTGGCTGTCCATTTCATGGCTGCTCTTGGATCCCCTTTTACAGTATGAATTGTGGCCTGGTGGGATTCCTTGCAACACAAGTCTGATGGGGCCAACCTCTGAAAATCCCCATGCCTTTCAGAGTTGTGTAGAGAACAGGGGAATTTCCCAAGTGTAACTTCTCCCATTTCTGACCAACAGGCCATACAAATTTTCTCTTCTCAACTTTGAAAGACCCTTTGCTCTTCTCCTGTTTGGAATCTGGACAGGAATGAGGAGCCTGTGGCTCTTGAGATGTTGTCAGACTCCAACTTCCATCAGCCCCAGCCAGCATAAGCAACAGTTAGGGAGGATGGGAGTTGGTCCAACAAACTCTGGAAGGCTACAAGTTCCTCGCTCTTGCTTTAACTGTTAAATCAGAACCATTTTGAGAAAGGCTTTGATTGGGGTTCCAGTCACTTCTATGCATAGCCAAACGGCAGAATTCACCAACACAAGACATGGCAATAGCCACCATGTTTTAATGGCTTAAAAAGAGGGAGAGAGAAATTCAGGGAGGGCAAAACTACCAGTGCCTAGGTACCAGTTCCATTTATCAGGGACTAAATGCCTCAGAACAGCAGTTGCTGAGGATCACAACTGGGAGAGAGTGTGTTGCACTCCTGCTCTGCTTGTCAGCGTCCCACGTGCATCTGATTGGCTGCTCTAAGAAAGAGGATGCTGGTCTAGATAAGCCTTTGATCTGATCTAGCAGCCAGGCTCTTCCTACTAATCTTCCTTCTAGCCCTGTTGGACCAGAAGCTGAGAATCCACCCCACCCCTCCCTATTTATCCATTGTTTGTGTATTTGTCTTTCATCTCAAACGCAGCCCCTCCCAAGAGCAAAACGGGTCATGGCGCTGCCAAAAAGCACGGCAAGAAATCAGGTAATTTTCTGATGGCGTGCTGAGAATTGGCTAGTGCGCTTGGTTGAAAGTAGTCACCTTACTGTCTAGCCCGCCTGCTAGTGGGTTTTGTTTTGCTTTGCTTTGTTTTGTGGCCTATAAATCTATAGCTAATGAGCGTGCTCCCTCCCATGCGTTGAAAAATAGGCCTAAGCATGTGCTTCCCTTGAAGTAATTGAGAGAGAAACTAAACAGGAATTCCCATTTCTTAAGGAGACTTTAAATTTACTACTACACCCTGTGAGTGACAACTTTACTCAGGTTTAATCCTTTCCTCCTCAGCTGTGTCCTGATGGAAATCTCTTCCCGCAGCCACCCACTGCTACATTAAGCCTTGGGAGAAGGTGGGGGAAGAATCTCATTGATGTGCATAGCAGTTTCCATCATAGGATCATAGCTGGGGTGGAAATAACAATAACAATAATAATTAATAATAATAATTTATTATTTATACCCTGGCCATCTGGCTGGGTTTCCCCAGCCACTCTGGGCGGCTTCCAACAAAATATTAAAATACAATAGTCCGTCAAACATTAAAAGCTTCCCTAAACAGGGCTGCCTTCAGATGTCTTCTAAAAGTCTGGTGTTCTTTTCTTTGGCATCTGCTGGGAGGGCGTTCCACAGGGAGGGTGCCACTACCGAGAAGGCCCTCTGCCTGGTTCCTTGTAACTTGGCTTCCCGTAGTGAGGGAACCGCCAGAAGGCCCTCGGTGCTGGACCTCAGTGTCTGGGCTGAACTATGGGCGTACGCTCCTTCAGGTATACTGGGCCAAGGCCGTTTAGGGCTTTAAAGGTCAGCACCAACACTTTGAATTGTGCTCAGAAACATACTGGGAGCCAGTGTAGGTCTTTCAAGACTGGTGTTATGTTGTCTCGGCAGCCGCTCCCAGTCACCAGTCTAGCTGCCACAAAGGAAAGGGTAAAGCACTCCCCCCATGGGCTGCAGTCCTGAATAATAACAATAACAACAATCCTGGTGTTGTTGCTAATGATGCTTTTCATTCCTACATAGTCTGAGTCTAGAAAGGTTCAAGGCAGCACAAAGTCTTTTCCAGCAGGAGTAGGTAGATGTATTTTAGTTTGTGTGGCAAACATGTTTAAAGTAAACATGTTGACAGTTTCCAACCTCTTGGGTTGTTGCAGCGATAACAAGCAAAAGATGCTTGTGCCGCTTTTCAGACTTAACAACTTTATTACGGTGTATTTTTTTCCTAGACTAGACTCTACAGCAGTGGTCCACAAGTTCATTCAGTTGTTGTGTGCCTGTAAAAAATACAATTAAAAATCTTACAGCATCTAGCACAGCACCTTACCGTTGTTGCAACTGGCAGACAAACTGTTAAGTGATCTGCCAAGACCTTCAGCAGTTTTCAAAAGTGGTGCAAGGGAGGGAGAGGAAAGTTTGTGAACCACGGCTCTAGAGCAAAAGTGAAGAAGCTGTGGCCCTCCAGATGTTCCACTTCAGCTCCCATCAGTCCCTGCAGTCAGCATGGTCAGTGATCAGAGATGGTGGGAGATGGAGTCTAGCAACATCTAGAAGTCTACAGATTTTCCACTCTGTTTGAGAGTTTGCTGTATCAGATGACTGGAGCATTCCACACATGGGTGGGTGTTACGAAAAACAGTGAAGTCATAGGAAAATGAATTGCAAAACAACAACAACAACCAGTCCCTGACAACCACCTTGACGCTTAGGTGTATGTAAAATAAGCACAGGAGCTTTTCATGAAACAGTTATGCTGTGAACCCAAACAACCTGGCATTGCTACATTAACTTACACCTTTAATAGGATTTTAAAAAGCCACCTGTTTTGATTTAGGCCACCCACAGATTATATAATTTAATGCTTGCTGTTCAGTGAGGACCATGGAAGCAACAGTAGGGTAATGAAAGGAGAGTTAGGGTTGCAAAGGAATGACTGCAAGTCTAATGCAGCCTATCAAGCCACGTTTTTAAAAGGATAGATTCATAGAGGAGACAGCGCTATCAAGGGTTTTAGGCAGGGTAGCTAAATGGAGCCTCTATGTACCATGTCAGTATACCCACCTCTCTCTGAGCACCAAATTCTGGAGCAGACTGCATGTGACGGCTGTTGCCTCCATGCCCTGCTTGTGGGTTACCCAGAAGCATTTGATTAGCCACTCAGGGGAAGCAGAGTGTTGGATTAGAGCAGGCTTCTTCAACCTCGGCCATCCAGATGTTTTGAGACTACAGTTCCCAGCATCCCTGACCACTGGTCCTGCTAGCTAGGGATCATGGGAGTTGTAGGCCAAAAACATCTGGAGGGCCAAGGTTGAGGAAGCCTGGATTAGAGAGACCTTATTCTGATCTACTGGGGCTCTGTGTCTTTATGATCTTCAGCCTATAGGACCCCATCTGCACTCTACAATTAAAGGAGTATTGTACCACTTTAAACAGTTGTGACTTCCCACAAAGGATCTTTGGAAGTGTTAAGGGTGCTGAGGATTGTAAAGAAGCTCTATTGTAGTTCATAAGGAAGCTGTTTTCCACTTGTACAAAAGGAGGTGGGAAAATCAGTCTGGCTTTGGGCCTGACTACTGTGTATGTATGGATGAGCCCCATGAAGGAGGTCTGTAATGTGATGGCACTTTCAAGAGTCAGACTTCGGGAGAAGAAGATGGCAAAAATAGTCACTGTGTGGCAGGGGGCGAAATCTGCCTGTTACTGTGCTGAGACAGGATTGTGGTGGTGTGTCGCTGTGATTGTTATAAGTTGGTCTGTGTCCTGCTAAACCTGCTTCTCTGTAGCATTGAAGGTGTCACCTGTATGGGTCAAATAGGGGGAGGCAAAAAAAAAAGTGGTGTCTTTTCATCTTCCCAAGAATCTCCCAAGATGTCCAAACTCATCCGGCTCAAATCTGGCTCCATCCCACTGGCACCTGTTGAAACGTTTAAAGGTAAGTTGAGAAACTGGGAGCAATTCAATGGTTGGCATTGAGTGTTGTCTGAAATTAATGGATCCAAGTTCATCCTGTTTGTTGATCTCATTGGGTCTACTCTGAGTAGGACAAGCATCGGATGCAGCCCAGGATGACTCTGAAAAGTTGCAAGTAAGTTGGAATTAAACAGTGATGACCGGTCCTACCGTTAGGCAAATGGCAGCTATTTCCCCTGAGCCCCTGGCCAGAGATGTGTGTGCCCCACAAACTTGTCATGCAGCTCCCCTCAACTAGCCCGCTGCCTTCAGGTGTGCCACTTGTTCCGGCATAGTCTTGGTGATATCAGTGGGGGCATCCCTGAGAGAAACAGCCTGGTTTCTTCAGGCTCTATTTTCCTTCCTTTGCTGTATAGTGTGGAGGGGGGAAAGCTCTGCCTCTTGAAACTCATTGGTCCTTTGCCTGTCCATCACTTGCCTGCTTCCTCTTCATGTCCGTGTGCCTTTGTCATTCTCCTGCTTCTTTCGCTCCATTCATTGCAGAATCAATCTTGAACTAATGACTCCAGCTAAAAGTCTCAACTGGAGAATGCATGCCTACCTTGTGTGTCTAGAATGTCATCATCTGCTCTCCCTCTGAAGGAATGGACGTGCACAGAATAAGCTATCCTTGCTAAACTGTGAGAGGGGATTGTGACCCCAGCTACTTTGCTTGGGCATGATCCTTCCAGGCATGCCCTGCTTACCCTATCTTAAAATAAGCAAGGTCAAGATGTCAGGCCCTCAATATATTGCTGGACTCCCAGCTCCCATCATCCTTAGCCATTGGCCATACTGGCTAGAACTGATGCTCATTGGGAGGCTAGTGAGATTTGGAGATCCACAGATGTTCCCCATTCCTGATGCAAAAGATCATAGTAGCCCAGTGTGGAGCCAAGAGCTTCTGCGATGAGGTTTGGCTCCAGATAGATTCCTGGGGCCCTGCAGAAACTTACATTTGCTCTGGTATAACTACTGCTATTACGGGACGCGGGAGGCGCTGTGGGTAAAAGCCTCAGTGCCTAGGGCTTGCCGATCGAAAGGTCGCGGTTCGAATCCCCGCGGCGGGGTGCGCTCCCGCTTCTCGGTCCCAGCACCTGCCAACCTAGCAGTTCGAAAGCACCCCTGGGTGCAAGTCGATAAATAGGGACCGCTTACCAGCGGGAAGGTAAACAGCGTTCCGTGTGCTGCGCTGGCTCGCCAGATGCAGCTTGTCACGCTGGCCACGTGTCCCGGAAGTGTCTCCGGACAGCGCTGGCCCCCGGCCTCTTGAGTGAGATGGGCGCACAACCCTAGAGTCTGTCAAGACTGGCCCGTACGGGCAGGGGTACCTTTACCTTTACCTTAACTACTGCTATTAGTAAGGGGGACTATTTTCTTCCCAGGAGATAATTTGCAAAATATGCTGTAAACAGATCCAGAGACTTAAAGACTTAAAGATTCTAGCTATGAAGGCCTTCTAGTTCTCTTAGATCAGGGATGAAAAATCTGGTGCCCTCCAGATGTTGTTGGGCTCCCAACTCCTACCAACCTTAGCCAGCATAGCCAGTAGTCAGGGACAATTGGAGTTCAACAGCATCTGGAGGGCCAAAGAAGCCACACACCCCCATCCCTGATCTAGGATACCAAACAAGGACATTCTATACCCTAGGAATAGCCCCAAAGAGTAAAGAACTGGACCCCAGAATGGACCCCTAAACAGTGGCAGCTGAGCAATCAACCCAGCTGGTTGCATTCCCCTTTTCATGCGGCTAAAGCACTCTTTGCATGCAGTTCCTCTCCCTGCAAGGTGCCTTTTATTGCAACAGCCCCTGACATTGTATAGTATGCCAGAGAGAAGCTTGATTTCCCACCCACATATTTTCCTGCTCCTTTTGCTTCCACAGATTGTGAATGTTACGGTCACTCTAATCGCTGCAGCTTCATTGACTTCCTGAACCTAGTGACCTGCATCAGCTGCAAACACAACACTAGGGGGCAGCACTGCCAGCACTGCCGGCTGGGCTACTATCGCAATAGCTCCGCAGAGCTGGATGATGAGAATGTATGTGTGGGTGAGTAGTGCTCAGTTTTGCTCAAAAGCCATGAAGCCTCCTTGTTGGTGTTGGTGTTACAGGTAGAGACCCTTCCTATTGTTTATCTCAGTGGCTATCCAAAGATGAGGGAACCTGTGGCCTTCTAAATGTTGCTTAAATACAAGGTCCCATCCCTGGCAGGGTCCTCCAGATGTTGGTGGACACCCAACTCCCATCAGCCAGCATGGAAAACAGGGATGGTGGTTGGGTAGTGTAGCCAAACATCTGGAAGATCTGGGGTTTCCCATTCCTAGTTTAAAGCTGGCTGGGATAGTCCATAAAGCATGAGACTCTTAATCTCAGGGTTGTGGGTTTGAGCCCTATGTTGGACAAAAGATTATTGCATTGCAGGGGGTTGGACTAGGTGAGCCCTGTGGTTCCTTCTTGCTCTACAATTCTAAGATTGTAATTGCCCTAAAGCAGGAGTAGCTCACCTGTTGCCCTCTAGGTATTGCTGGACTCCAATTCTCATCAACCTCAGCCACCTTAGGCTTTGGTCAGAAATGATGGGAGTTGTTGCCCAGCAACATCCATAGACCCATAGGTTCCTCTTCCTGGCTTTAAGTGGTGATGGACTGCCTAACCAATTGAGTGAGTTTGTGCGTGTGTGGTGCCTCCCCCTTAACTTACTATTGTTATTTTTTTTACCCTTTTCTGCCCATGGATCTTGTTAAGTGACTTCCATGATTAAAAACAAATCAAACATTGATACTTAGAGAACAACTCCTGCTATAAAAATGAAACAACTTCATGACAGCTGCAGATGAAAACCAACCTAACTTTGGCAATGGTCAAGCTCAAAATCCCTAGCTTTTGCCTAAATGTTGACATCTCAATAAGAAATGCTTCTGCATTGGAGTTGTTTTCAGGTGTTTTAATTGTTCCATCGTTTATGTGTTTGCTGCCCTGGGCTAGCTTTGGAGAAAGGCTGAAATACAATTTCAGTAAATAATAGTAATTATTAATACTACTACAAATCATCATCATAGCTGTGACTTCACAAAAACCTAGTCTTTTTGAGTGCTCATTCCTCCCCATTGACCTGGAAATCAGGAATTATTATTTTTAATCATTTTTATTTAATAAACCATATACACTTCTTCTTCTTCCATACCTCAGTGGTTTACAAAATGAATCCAGCATGGGGTCACTTCTTCTCCCATTTTCTTTGCCCATAGCTGGAGGACAGACTCTCTTTAACTGATAATACATAATACTTCACTTACTTCAGAATGTGGTACGCTATCCTTATTGAATTTGAGGTTTCCCCTGCTCATTCTGCAGCTCATTCTGCCCCAAAGCCCTACCCTGCCAGCCCCACTGCTGATATCCCCTCTTTATGTTGAGGATCAGTTGCCTCAATGCACTCCACGTGGGGCTAGCTTTGAAGGTAACTCGGAAACTACAACAAATCCAGTATGCAGTAGCTGGACTGGTGACTGGAAGTGACAGCCAGGACCATATTGCACTGTTCCTAAAGGATCTACACTGGCTTCCAGTACGTTTCTGTGCACAATTCCAAGTATTGGTGCTGATCTTTAAAGCCCTACATGGCTTCGGCCCAGTATACCTGAAGGAGTGTCTCCACCCCCATCGTTCAGCCCGGACACTGAGGTCCACCTCCGAAGGCTTTCTGGCGGTTCCCTCATTGTGAGAAGCAAAGCTACAGGGAACCAGGAAGAGGGCCTTCTCAGGAGTTGTGCGTACCCTGTGGAATGCCCTCCTGTCAAATGTCAAGGAGATAAATAACTTTACAAGTTTTAGAAGACATCTGAAGGCAGCCCTGTATAGTGAAGTTTTTAATGTTTGGTGTTTTATTATGTCCATATATCTGTTGGAAGCCACCCAGAGTGTTTGGGGTGACCCAGTCAGACAGATGGGGTACAAATAATAACATTATTATTATAATCACCATATTTTTAACCCCGTAAGACTCACTTTTTTCCTCCTAAAAAATAAGGGGAAATGTCTGTGCGTCTTATGGAATGAATGTGGTCATAGCTGGCTCCCTTTCCAGCCCCGCCCCCTTGCCCAGGCCTCCATTGTTGAATGTTCTGCAGAGGCTGTTTGTCTCCCCAGTGACATGTGACTGGTTGATTAGATTATCATCTGGAAACTGTAGAAACGGCTCCCTTTCCTTTCCTAAAGAAGCTGCAGAACTGTGAGCTGAACCCCATAAAAACAGGATTTTTTTTCCCTTTGCAAAGTAAGCTCAACAATTTTGAGCTGATCCTCAAAAAAAGGGGGCTTTTCCCCTTTGCCAAGGAAGCTGCACAACTGTGAGCTGATCCAAAAAAATCAGGGCTTTCCCCCTTTCCTCCTCTAAAAACTAGGTGTGTCTTATGGTCAGGTGCATCTTATTGAGCGAAAAATAAAATATGGTATTTGGAAAAGGAACCAGACATTAAGCAGGAATTTCATGTGGTCCCTGAACAACCCCGATCTACGCTGACACAGCTTTTCTTTTTGTCCTGTTTTGTTCCTTCTGCACTGTTTTGGCTTTGACAGATTGCAACTGCAACCGTATAGGCTCAGTGGCCAACCGCTGCAACGAGACCGGCTACTGTGACTGCAAAGAAGGTGTCACCGGGCCAAAGTGTGATGACTGTCTGCCCGGCTACTACTGGAGACAAGGCTGCTTTCGTAAGCATCACTGTTCACCTGTAGCACAGGGGAAAGCTCTCCCACTTGGGCAAGCAGCAAAAGGGGGCACAGAGCTCAATGACAGCAGGAGATGGCTGGGAACAAAGGAAGCTGCCTTACAGCAAGTTAAGCCAATGCCCCCTCTATCTCATTATTGTCCGCACTAGGTGTGAGGAGCTTTCAGCCCTCCAGATGTGGATGAATTACAACTCACATCAGCCCCAGCAACCATGGCCAATGTCCACAGATGATGGTGGTGGGAGTTGCAATTCAGCAACATCTGGAGTGCCAAAGGTTTCCTGTACCTGGTCTACATGGACTGGCAGCAAGTCCCCAAGGTTCTCATGTAGGTGCCTTTCTCAACGCTCCCTAGAAATGCTGGAGATTGCACCTGGGGCATTCTGCATGCAGGTCATCGGTTCTACTGATGAGCTATAGGTCTCCTGATGAACATATGGAGCTGCCTTCTACTGAGTCAGACCATTCGTCCATTAGCTCAGTATTGTCTACACCAGTGGTTTTCAACCTTTTTGAGTAGGTGCCCTTGAGTAACCACATTCTTTCTGTGGCTCGCCTGGGGTTCCATTACAGGATGTGTGTAAGTGGGGATTTACCCCGTTCCGCACCCACCCCACCCTGTTCCGGTGCAGTTTTTGGCATGCAGGTAAGTGAAAGTGCACGTGCTGACAGGAACACAAGCAATGCCACTGCTCTATAGGGGGACCAAGCCTTTCACAAAATTAGTGTTTGCATGGGGGCGCGGAGGGCAAAACAAGATACAGATCAGAAGCAGAAATCTTTTGTTATTGCAGGGAAGGGAAGTGAGAAACACACAGCGCAAGACACACATGCAGACATGGTCCTTTCCTGCAACATTCTCCTTGCCCTACAAAGCTGGGTGACTGTTAAACAAAAGAAGGGTTGCTGGGAGGGGGAGCGGAAGAGGGGGAGATGTTGGGGGTGGAAGGAGAGAGAAACAAGGAGACACTCCACCACTTTCAGTAAGTTTTCCAAATATTACACATAAAATTCCGATACATATTATTTTAAAAAAATATTTTCTATTCTCTATTTCCCAACCCCTCTCCCCCCTTTTTTATCCCCCCCCCACTTTGCTGCACCCTATCTTTACTCTTTTTTATCATAATCATAACACAATAATCTTGATATATTTCCATTGCTCATAGTTCGAAACATGGTTGCAGGTTCTTCACATTTTAATATTTCCTCAAATAATCTGAAAAGGACTTCCATTCTTAAAAAAAAAAGCCAAAAAATACCCAGTCACCATTAAATTATCTTATTTTAGCTGTTCTGATTCAAGTAAAGTCCATTACTTTACTTATTCATTCTTCTTTAGTGGGAACGTCTTTCTCTTTCCACTTCTGAGCATAGGCAGTGGTGTCCAAACTTTTTTCGAAGAGGGCCAGATTTGATGAAGTGAAGGGCCGTGAGGGCCGACCAAAGTTGTTACCCTTTTTTAAAGATTGAAGTTGTTGAGGTGTTTTTAGGATTTTACCCCAGGACATAAACTGGCCAGATTAGACCCCTGAAACAGACTTTGGACATGCCTGGCATACAGTATCCTACCTGCTGTACATAAACAACTTAACCATCCTTTTTTGAATTTCTGTCCCTATAATCCCTAGCAGAAAAGATTCAGGTGTTTGTGGTATACTCACTTTAAACAATCTTTTTTATCTCATCATATATACCCTAGCTTTTTTACGTCCCCCACATATGAAAAAAAGGACTGTCTGCTTGTTTATACTTCCAGCAGTTATTCTTCTTATACATTTTAGATAATTTATCAGGTGTTAAATACCATCTATCATTTTGATATAATTCTCTTTTAAAGCATAGCAAGCGGTGAATTTCATGTCTACTTTCCACAACTTTCCCCATTCATTTCTATATTATGTCCTAAATCTTTAGCCCATTTTATCATTACCAATTTCACCATTTCATCTTTCGTCTCCCATTCTAATAATAGTTTATACATTTTTGAGATCAGTTCTTCTCCTCCTTCAAACACAATATTTTCGAAGTGATAGTGGGCAGCTTTGTCTAGTGCCCTTTGTGCACTTTTCTGTTAGCACTCCATTTACTATTATACTTGAAAACTGTTCTGTATATATTGCTGCTTTTATTCCTCTCACAGTTTTCTCCCCCAGCCCATAATATCCAATATTTTCCCCATAAAACTCTGCAAAACTTTATCAAACACCTTCTCTGCATCTAGAAAATCATTGCTAATTGCTTATCTTTTCTCTTTTCAAAATATTCTATAGCATTTAATACAATTCTAACATTGTCTTTTATTTGTCTTGTCGAGAGAAATCCAGCTTGATCTTCATGAATCCAGTCCTTTAAGACTAATTTAAGTCTTCTAGCTAATATTATTGCAAACAATTTATAATCACATTTGAGAAAGGAAATAGGTCTATAGTTCTTCACCTGGGTTGGATCTTGATCTCGTTTTGCTATCAACGTAATATTAGCGTGTTTTCAGGAGTCAGGCATTTTCCCTTGAAACATAATATTGTTCATACCCATTTGTAAAGGTTGGGCTAAACAGCCTCAAAACCTTTATAATAACAAGCAGTTAGGATGTCTGGCTGTGGCACTCTATTAGTCTTTGGATCATTTATTGCTTGGTTCACTTCCATTGCTGAAATAGGGAGATTCAATACATCCCTTTGTTCTTTTGTCAAGGTTGGCAACTTCCTTTCTTTCAAATATCTGCCCATTGCATCTAGGTCCTCTTTACCACCTTGATATAACACTGAATAATATTTTAAAACCATCTTTATTAGTTTTTCATTATATGTTATTCCTCCATCTATAGACAGTATATCAGATTCAATTTCCTCTCTTTTTCAATTGCCAGGCCAGCAGCCTTCCTGGCTTGTTAGCAAATTCAAAATGCGTCTGCTTCAAACATTTCAGCTTTTGTTTCATCTCTTGGTTTAGTAATACTGATAGCTGAGTTTATAACAGTCTTATCATTTGTACCAGTTTATTATCACTAGGTTTATCAACGAAATACTTTTCACAATTTGCTATTTCTTGTAATAAGCCTTACATCTTTTATTTATTTATTTTTTGCATTTTCAATTTTACAAACAAGAACACAAAAAAGCAAAATACAAGCATCATATTCCCTTTGACTTCCCTCCCACCTTTTGGTGGATCCTTACGTTATAATTTTCATTCTGCATCTCCTCACTAACTTCAATTATTGTTAAGTCCTCGGTCCATCCATAATTCAAATTTTTACCTACTAATGAATGTAATTGTTTACAATAGTTTTTCAAATACATTATAAACTTTCCCCATTCTTGTTAAAATTTTATTCTTCCTGGCTCCTGATTCTTCTTGTAAAGGTAAAGGTAAAGGGACCCCTGACCATTAGGTCCAGTCGTGGCCGACTCTGGGGTTGCGGCGCTCATCTCACTTTATTGGCCGAGGGAGCTGGCGTACAGCTTCCGGATCATGTGGCCAGCATGATTAAGCCACTTCTGGCAAACCAGAGCAGCACACTTCTTGTAAGTTTTACCAATTCAGCGTAGTTCATTGATGTTATCTGCCACTCTTCCTTCGTCGGAACTGTATCTTCTTTCCATCTCTGGGCTAACAAAATTCGGGCAGCTGTGGTCGCATACATGAACAATTTCTTCTGGTCCTTCAGAATCGCCGCACCTAGAATTCCTAAAAGAAAATGTCTTACATATTTTTGATAAGTGCTTTGTTATATAAAGAAGCCTCTGACAACCACATTCCCAGCATCCCATACTGTATTTAAATCTGTACTTTTCCCAAAATTTAACTCAAAGAAGTCAGTCATACATGTAAATCCCTTTTGCTTTATCTCAGTCTTTCTTAACAAGCTGTCATTCAGCACCCTTCTAAAAGCAGTATTCCGTTGGCCTTTGATAATAGCAAATATCAAATTATGGTCTTGGTTGTATTTCAGTTTTCTTAAAACCAGATACTATGGGTTTTGATGCCCATAACATGCTATTTTTTAGAGGCTCTATTTGCTGGCTGAATGATCTATGAAATCTGTAACCAATGGGAATTTAAATCTCCATACATATTGCAGATCTGTATTTTGTGCCATCTCAAAAAACACCTTTGGTAACTTACCCTCTGAAACCACATTGGGTGTAGTTGCTCTGTCCATATCCCCTGAAACCATATGACATTTCCATCGTATTTTTCAAAGAGTAGATAGTCCAGCTTTTTACAAAATTCTTTTTTCTCATTTGGTGCATAAAGTTTACGTCCCACTATTGTAAATTTTACGTCCCACTATTGTAATTTCCACACCTATTATTCTCCCTTCATCTTTAAATACTTGTTTCAGTTCCAATTTTGGATTCACATATAACACCACGCCTATCTTTTTTTTTGCTTTATCCGATGCAATAAATCCACACACACACATACACATATATAATTTTCTCATTTTACATACATTTTAACAAAAGAAAATACAGATGTATACAAAAACAATCTACATTTCCTTCAGCTTCCTCCCCTCCTTTCTGTGGTTACAAGGAAGCCCTGTTTAGGGAAGTTTTTAAGGCTTGGAGTTTTATTCTGTTTAATGTTCTGTTGAAAGCCGCCCAGAGTGGCTGGGGAAACCCAGCCAGATGGACGGGGTATAAATTATTATTATTATTATTATTATTATTATTATTATTATTATTATATCTTTCATCTCAATGTAATAGATTCTTGACCTATTTTTTATTTATTAAAAAATTTTCTAGGAGTCCTTTTGATATGTTCTCTTGCAGACAAATTATATTCAGTTTTTGTTTTAACAAAACATGAGGTCTTTAAATGTTACTATTGAATCCATTTACATTCCATGATACTAATTTATAAGCCATTATTTTGAAATTTTAAAGTCCTTTTCTCACAGAATTGTGTGGTTCCTTTGTATCTTGCTGTTCTTCTCCAGTTGTTCTACTTCTGTTTCCAACTGTTTCTTCCAGGAATCTTGCGGTTTTTGCAAATCTGCACATCTTTATCTCTTAGTTTTGTAAGTAAAACTCAGTCCCTCTGGGTATTCCTATCTAAACGGTACCTTCTGTTTCTTCAATGCCTCAACCAAAAATCTGTGTTCCTTTCTCTTGTTTAGGATCCTTGATGGGATTTCCTTGAGAATTCTAATCCTCTGAACATCTATTTTTAGATGGTTTTGAAAACGAGTTTGTAGAATTTTATATCTCAGCGCTCTTGAAGTAAATTGCACCAAACAGTCCCATGGGAGTTTCTTAGCTCTCACATATGATTATTTAATTCTATAATCTCTGTCTATCAAATTCTCCATCATCTCTGGTGGTAGTTGTAAAAAAAAGACGCAAATTCCTTTCCTTTCCTTAAAATCTTCTTCCCAAAGCTCCAGGAAACCTCTAAATCTTTTTTAAAAAAACAATTCTTCTTGATACGTCTCTAAGACTGCAATCTTGTCCTCTAAGGTTTCTTTTTCAGCCTGGACAGCTTACACCTGATCTTGAACTTCTCCTCTGCATCTTTTTGTATCTTGGCTCTCCTCAGAAAGTTTTTTTAACTGACCCTTCCAGAGATGTTGTCCTTTTAGCCAAGTCTCTTAATGTCACTGGCACAATCTTTAATGTTCTTCGATAACTCAGTCAATGCTAAAGTATTTTGTTCTAGAGGTAAATGAACTCCCATCAAAATCTCACTGGAATCACCTTCAGCTGGCAGTGACGCTTTTCTGCCACCGGCCTTCACCATTTACGACCTTGAATCTATCATATCCCTGTTTTACCACCAGATGGTAGTATACCCTCAAAAAATATTTATTGCGTTCCACACTGATCTTCTCTTGTCATGCATGACCTTATTTCGCCACAAGACGGTAGTATTACATATATTTTCTAAGAATATATGTCTGTTTACATTCCACAGTGCTCTTTTCCCATGATCCCAATCCCCAAATCTTTGGAACACAGCAAAGGATCCCTGTGGACTCATTGCACCAAACTCAAGTATTTATATTGTAACAAACTGAGTCCTTTCACTACAATTATTAATTGAAAACAATCATGGTAGAAACAGTTCTTTATATAATTATTAGTTTATGTCCTTCTAACCACTCCTTTCTTTAGCAACCCAGTGTTACTGTAATTCATCTTAAATCAGCACACATTCCGTTTTAATAATCAAGCTCCTTTCGGTATAATTGTGAGGAATTGGGGTAAAGAAGGTCTTATCAAATGTTTGTAGAGAAATCTCCCTGCATCATTTGCCACTCCTGTTACTCACGGCAACAAGATGTTACTTTACTTAAAGTTCTTTAGACCCAGCACACAGATTTGTTTTGCAGCTTGTTGTTCACCATTTTCAATGGGCTGGTGCCTTCAGCTCATCTTTGTAGTTTTACAGTCCAAATTAATTAGGATAGAAGAGAAAAGAGCCACTTCATGAACAGCCTGGCGCGGCTATTCCTGAGGAATCATCAATGGAGTACCTGAATGGCCCCTTGTACCCATCTCAGACAGCGTCCTCCAGCATCACTTACAATGGGGAGGGCCTCTTTTCGTGCTGTGGGGACCCTACACCCCCCCCCCGGTAACTCCTGGAGGGAACAAGGATGTGGTGTGGTCACTGCCATTTTAAAATCCCTCACAGTCCCGTCCCCCATCCCCCCCCCCGGCAGAAGAGTTGGCTTGCTCGCCTGCTAGCTGCCCTGGAAGTCCATTTTGGTTTCTCTTCTTTCCATATTGCTGCATTGCAAATTTAAGCATGGGACCTAGGTGTAAGAAAATCTGGAAGCAGGAAGAATAAAATAGCAGGCAACATTAGGCCAAAACAGACATCAGTTGGCCATAATTACTGGCAGTCATTAGGAGAATGCCATCGGTGTTGACGCCTGCTTTGATTTCACAGTTTTATATCTTATTTTTAATCCCCCTTTCTTTTTTCATTTATTGCAAGTTCTTTTGTTGGGCAGCATGCAAGTAATGGCCGCAAATAAATTGGAGCCAGGTTGGGTTTTATTTCAGCCCTGAGACAACCCTGGAGAGGACCAAACTTTGTGGCTTTTGGGTTGCTGCTAATATTACCCAAGTAAAGGCTCTGGAGTAAATTAAATGTGTTACAGACGCCTCCATCTCTGTCTAAATATGTGGCTTTGCAATCAAGCAAAGAGCTCTGGTTGCCCCATTTTGAAGAGCTACAAAAACTGAAGGAAAGGAATAATGATCAAACCTACCAGAGGGGCTGGGGCAACTTCAGGGTTTCAAATCCTCCACGCTGGGTATGAATCTCACTGGGTGTGACCTTGGGGGCCAGTCACTGCTTTTCAGCCTGGCCTACCTTGCAGAAGGGGGAGGTGGGGGGAAGAACCATGTACACTACCTTGAGCTCCCTGTAAAACAGACGGATATCATTGTGGTAACACACACACACACACACACACACACACACACACACACACACAACTTTAGCCATCTAGGTGCCTGCATGTACTGTTGGTATTTACTTGTAAGTAGAAGGCAAGCACCAGAGCAGTAAATAAGGCAAACTTCCCACTTTGCATAGGCTGCTCCATAACTGGATTCCTCCTGGCTGGAGCAGGAGCAAGAGTCAGGCCGGGCTGGGGAGAGAGACAGAGAGATAGATTGAGAGAGAGAGATTGCAGATATGCAGGAAGGACGGCTGATGTGAAAGGGGGAGAGAGAGAGAGAGAGGAGGAGGGCCCTCCTGCGGCACCCCTGACCAAACATCAAGTCACTCAAGAGTGCCGATGCACACAGGTTGAAAACCTCTGGTCTACACGGACTGACAGTAAGTCTCCAGGTTTCCACCCCATCCCCTGGACGTGTCAGGGATTGTAACTTGACCCATCCTCATGCAACATAGGTCTGGCCCTTGAGGAATAGAATGATAAGAAGCTGCCTTATACTGTGTGAGGCCACTGTTCCAAATAGCCCAGTATCCTCTACATTGCCTGGCTGCAGCTCACTGGGGTTTCAGGCACAGTTTCTCTTCTAGTCCTACCTGGAGATGCTGGATACTGAACCTGGGGTCTTCCACATGCCAAGTGGATGTGCAGAAGTTCCCAGCATCAATTCCTAGCAGCTCCAATTAACAATTCTGGGTAGCAGATGTAGGAAGGATGTGAGACAGACACACAAGGCAGCAGAACAGGCAAGACGGACAGGAGCTACAGCAAGGGTGGCAAACCTGTAGCCCTTCTAATGTTGCTAGACTTCCAACTCCTATCTGCCCCTGCTAGCACAACCAGTGCTGAGGGTGAATCATAGCTCAGAGATAGAGCGCGTGCTTTGCACGTGGAACAGGCAGAAGAAATCTCACGAGCCCCAGCAGTATAGTCGGGGAACAGGGAGAGCCTTCCAGAGGGTGCTGCATTTCACATTAAAATGCAGGGGACCTTCCTCCTCCTTCTGCTAGGTGATGCCCTGGCCTTTAGCCCCAGAGTTCTGCCCTGGTGCCATCATTCTCTTGCCTCCAAATCAGACTGGAAAAGGCATTAGACTAGGAAAGATGGTTGTGGTGGTGAGAGTGTCAGACTAGGACTTTGGAGGCCAGGGCACGAATCCCTACTCAACTGTCAAGCTTAGAATGACCCTGAGCTAGTCACTGTCTCTCTGCCTAACCTATCTCCCAGTGTTGTGATGAGGATAGAATACAGCAGGAGAACCATGTACAGCACCTTAAGAGCCTTGGAGGAGAGGGGGAATATGAATGTATTAACAGTGGTGATGATGATCATGACAGTGAGACTCCTGCCCCAGGAAGGAGCTAGCAGGCAATAAGAGTTGCATAACAAGTTCACCATCCCTGACCAAGATAACCAACTTCGTCCAGAGTTGTGGTTTGTGTAGGGTTTCAAGAAAGTGGGGAGGAGCCAAGGGGGTTCCCCCACACGAACAGAGTTCAGCCGCTCTCCCTGCCTCTCTTTCCACAGCTAATGTGTGCGACGAGGAGCTGTTGATTTGCCAGAATGGGGGCACTTGTTATGACAACCAGCGCTGTCTCTGCCCACCCAACTTCAGGGGTGTCCTCTGTGAGCAATCCAAATGTGAGGGAGAAAACAAGGAATGTGACTCTGCCTCAAGCACGTACCTCAACCTCTCGGCCTTCCTCATCAGCGTGCTGGGCCTGCAGCTGCAACACTTTTTGGACCTTTGAAGCCCAGGAAACCAGGGGGAGGGGGGGGGAATGCCTCATGGAAGGACAAGAGGGGAAGGAGGGAGGGTGCTCACAAGTTAAGGGAGCAGGGGGTTGTCTCTCTCTCTCTCTCTCCCCACCACCAGCCTCTCTTTCCTCCATCCAACAGGGAAGTGGGGAGAGAAGCAGAAGGTATTCAAGGGACTGTATTCTCCCCCTTCTGCCCAAGTAGCTGAGGACCCCGGCTGGAGGCAGCTGCAACATTTCAGAGGCAGAACTGACTCTTTATCACTGGGAAGAAACAAGGTGCCACGACTTTGGGGTGGGGCAGTGGCGCTGGCAAAAGACTTGCCTCGCTTCCTCTTTCTGTTCAAGGGTGACCTTGCGACCCCCGTTCCACTTTGCACAGGAGGAATCTGCCAAACGAAAACATGCCACAATCCTCTGGCGCTTAGTTGCTTGGCTATCTCTCCTCTGTCCCTTTTCCTTTCCTCCTTACTCTTATTGTTTTGGAAGTAGCCCTCCTAACAGAGACTGGCAGCTATAGAAAGTCCAGGCTGCGGGGCAGGGAACCTGCAAGATTATACCCACCTTGCATCATCAGCCTGCTCCAGCCCAGGCCTAGAATTATATTGTTGCCTACAAATCAAGTTGCTGAATTTATTAAGTTTTTGTACTTTTTTCAGTTTTTATTCCGTTGGTTGTGAGTCTTCGATTCCCCCCTCCCCCTTTTCTCGCACTCAAGACCAGAAGTGAACAAGGCCTCTGTATCGCGACAAAAAAGTGTAATGTGTGTTATCCAGGCTTCACCGTATAGTTTACGGTTCTCAAATACTTTTTATTTTGGTAGAGAATTATTTTTGTTTGGATTATAAATGTTCTAAAGAGAGAGAGAAGAAGAAGAAGAAAAAGATGAACCACCACAGCCTCTAGAGACACATCTTACCATAAGTGTTATGGTGTAATAATCCTACTACAGTAAAGCAACCTAATAACTGCTGCCCGGTCTCAGTTTTTTCCCCACCTTCCCACACACTCTCTTAATTTACTGATAAGAGCCTTACCAAAAAAAGGAAAGAAGCAGATAAAAGTCTCGTTGCATTTTCATGACACCAAAGACTTACGCACAACTGCTGGCGGGCTGTTGGGAATGAACACACAGGTTTCTTTTCAAGACTCATATAGCAGAATGCATTTCTGCAATTTCCCCCTAATTATTTTTACGCTGGTAGCCCAAGGACTGCTAATACGCACGGCATCAAAAGCAAATCTGGTCCTACTTGTGTTCCTATGGTAAGGGAGGGGAAGATGAGCAACAAAACACTGGGAGGAGTGTTCTTGCTTAAGAGTGGCCTCCAGTGCTGTAGGCTACACCCAAGGGCATTGTAGTCCGGCACCATATTGGCTACTTTCTATGTATGGAATCAAGCACACCAGTTAACCCACCATTCTGGATTTTATTCTCCCTTTCCAACTGATTCAGCATTGCATCTCAGATCATGTCAGGAGACTTGAGCCCTTAAAATTTTTGGAAGTGGTTTTTTTGGGGGGGCTATGCCTGTGAACCTCAAGGACAAAGCTCTGTTAGACCTCATGGCTTGTCGGGGGGGGGGGACCATGACTTAGCTTGCAGCAGCAGCAGCACATGACAAGCAAAGTGGCTGCAATCTCCTCTCCCGGAGTCCATGGTTAAGCTTAGCCTTATGTGCAAAGTGGGTCAATGCTATGCTAGACCTATGCGCAATAACCTCTGGTTCACCTCAGACAGGGCTAGAAACTGTGGTTTGAGGCCACAACCCCCTGAAAGCAGCCTTAAAAGGCAAGAAAGAAAAAGGTGCTTTTCCAAGCAGCTGCTGAGGCTTTGTCAAATCACGTTTTAAACGTTAGGATGAAAATGCACTTTGGCGACTCCTTGCCCAAGGCCTTCAGAGCACAAGAGCCACAGCTCACAGGAAAGGAGAATTCATGCCATGGGCAGCTGGAAGGTACACCTGAACTTAGCAAACTGAAGGTTCGTATCACACACTTTCTTTCTCGCACACCAATGTTTGCATTAGCAGTTACAAAGGGGTATGGGAGAAGGAAGGTTCTGCAGAACATCTGCTTCAAGATCTGCAAGGACCATTCTCAAAATATCTTTGCAATAGTTGCAGGAATGGGGGGACACATTCACACACCAAGCAATTCCTCAGACTCTGGGAGAAAGCTGCCCAACTCATTTTGTATAAATTCCAGGATTCAGGATTCATTTTTCCTCTCTCCCCATCCCCTTCCTAGCTTGAGATGAGTTTTAAGTCAAACTCCCCAGACAACTTATTCCAAGAGGAGTCCTTGCGAAAGCCATTCAGCTGCCGTGGAACAAGATAGCTGAGGGCTGGTTTACACACAAACACCCATCTCTTGGACTTCCATATCATCCAGAAGTCATGTGTGTGAATAGGTCATCACAGATCAAAATACCACAGGAGAAGCCTTCACCACGTCACAGACATAATGAGATGTCTCCAATCCCAGCCCTACTCAGAGTAGACCCATTGAAAACAATGACCATTATTAGATCCATTCTTTTCTATAGGTTTACTCAAGTATAACTTACATGGATACAACCAGTTGATCTTTTTCAATAGAATCAGTCCCCATATTTAGCTGCAAGTTAAGAATTGAGTATTCAGAGCTAAGAGAAACCAGGCATATCTATATCTATATATGTAAATAAAGTATAGGCAGCTTACCTTGGACCAAAATACATTTTAATGAGATGGTGGAAAGTTGAGAGAAACTCAAAGCGCACAGGCAAAGGAGAAAATGGGGACCCTTTAAAAATAAATAATCAAGATTATGGTCTGCGAGCAAATTTCAAGAACTGCAGCTCTAAATCGTCCAACCCTTTTAAAAGTGAGTGTTGGCTGGTGGAATTTAAGTAGCTATAATCATATTCAACTACCCTACAGATGAATAAAAATCTGAGCCCAGGATTGAGAGCCCACTCTGAATTGCGTGCATTGTTAAAGAGGAAAAGGGGCGAGATTACTTGGAAGTGGCCTCAAATGCAAGAATGCTGTGCAGGAGCCAGTGACGGCACACCCATCAGCCATAAGCCCACAGAGGCTGCTACACAAGGTGGACACAAGAGTGTATGAGGGAAACAGCTGCTGAAGCAAACTGCTGTCTATTAAGAATCATCTCAGAGCTCAACACCACCCTGCCAGCAAACACACTGTTATAAGAAAAACATTCAGAAAGAGCAAAACATACTGTGAAAACAATGTTTATTTCGTGGCTTGGGGGTTCTATCCCCCCCCCCAAAAAAAATTGTTACCATGCTTTTATTACTGTGTTGTCCTCCATCACTTGACCGAATGTTGCCCAGGAGCTTCATGTGACTTAGCCACCACACTCACCGGCCCTCACATGGCTTTCTCCAGTCTCTGCTGTACTGGCAGAGACTTCAGGATCTTCTTAGCACTACATGCAAAGCAAGGAATACTGTTGACATGGTATTTGAGGTCTTGAAAAAGGAACCTTTCTGAGCATCCTGAATCAACACATTCCAATTTTAATTTTACTACAAAGGGATTAAACAACAACAACCAATGAATTATTAGGACAGGAGACTAGCAAGGGTTGGTGGCGATTTATTTATTCTCTGCTGTGCTGCAGGAAAGTGGGAGTCTGACTGAGTGGGTCTTGGGCTTCCCTTGCTTTTGGAGTGCACCTCTCAACAGCTTTCAGCTGGGGGAAGTGGGGGCCTTAGCCTGAAAAGTGTTCTTCACCCTTCCTCTAAGGCTGGCTGAATTAACTAAAACACTAAAGGTAAAGGGACCCCTGACCATTAGGTCCAGTCATGACCGACTCTGGGGTTGCGGCGCTCATCTCGCTTTATCGGCCGAGGGAGCCGGCGTACAGCTTCTGGGTCATGTGGCCAGCATGACTAAGCCGCTTCTGGCAAACCAGAGCAGCGCACGGAAACGCTGTTTACCTTCCCGCCGTAGTGGTACCTATTTATCTACTTGCACTTTGACGTGCTTTCGAACTGCTAGGTTGGCAGGAGCTGGGACAGAGCAATGGGAGCTCACCCCGTTGCGGGGATTTGAACCGCCAACTTTCTGATCGCAGTCCTAGGCTTTGTGGTTTAACCCACAGCGCCACCTGCATCCCTACTCTAAAACACTAGAGACCACTAATAATGGGTGTCAGGAGAAATGAGGTCAAACTTCCTCTGGATTGCACCCACTGGTAAACAGTGGTTTCTGAACACGCAACAGAGGATCCCTCCAATATGCCTGTACTCGGGCTATAAGGATCCTTCCCTCCTCACTGCAGTTACAAAACAAGCAGCAGCAGCAGGGAAACGAGTGTTTAACAGGAATCCATTCACAACTCTGAACTTTACAGGAGCAAACCATCATTGCCAGGCCTTCCAATGGACAAACCTGGATTGGAGGCCCTCTAGTGGCAAAGTCGTTATGGTACAAGGCTGGGGGAAAAGGACCATATGAAGACTTTGCGCCCATATGGGAATAACTGTGACCTCATGCAGGAAAGTGCCAGGATGGAAAGAGGGGAGTCCCCCATGCCAGCTGCTTTATCCCCTGACTGGGCGCCTCCCTGGGAGAAAACTGGCAGGACAGGAGTCTGATGGGACAGAGGCAACCAGCATGGCAGAGGACGGCATCCCTTTCTCTGCTCCCCTGCACACAGCTGGCATTCTAGCACAGAGGAAGGAGTGGGGAACTTTTGTGGCCCTGCAGAAGTTGCTGAACTCCATCTCTCACCGCCCCTCATCATTGGCCAGGCCGGTGGGGCTGCTGGGCATCGCACATCTTCAGGGCTGCAGGATCCCCGGCCCTTACAGCTTCTCACAAACACCTCCCAGAAATGCCATGCTTGGCCTTGCATGAAAAACCACAGCGTTCAATGGTCAGGAGTGATGGGAGTTGTAGTCCAGTCCATTAGCTCTGAATACCATACTGCCAGTCTAAGATCAACTGGTGAAAGAGCTAAAGTAACGTAAGTTTTACAATCTATGAAACCCGAGTTTCAGGTTCCTCTGGGCGCCCACAAGCAGGGACAAAATTGAGATGGCACTGACCCCCCCCAACAGGACCTTCTCAGTGGTAGCTCCCTCTTTGTGGTGGCCCCTCCCTGGGGAGCTGCGCCTGTCTCCCTCATTGTTGCCTTTCAGGAGAAGTTTGAAAACCTGTTTGTTTACACAGGTGCCTTCGGTGGCTGAAGGACACTGGATACGGGATGAGAGAATGCCTTTTCCAAAGAGATTTAGAACTGTAGCTCTTCTTAGAAGGCTCTTTAAACCATTGTTTTGTGTCTGATATGTTTACCGCCCTGGGCTCTGGAGGGCTGGACCTAAATTCAATAAGGAATGAATAAATGTGGCCCAACATTTCCCCCAACCCCGAGATTCAAAAGATTGAATTGTCTACAACACCTCTGGCCAGCCTTGATCCCTCCTGAAGTTTTGAACTGCAATTCTCACCTGCCACAGCCAGAGCAGCAAATCTGTGCCCCCTTTTCAAGGGCAGGCGGAGGGCACCACCTACAGACACAGCGTACTGGGCCTGTTGGCACCCTGCTCCTCCAAACAACCCTATGAAGTGGGCTTGATTTATGGCTTTGGGAGGCGATGGGGGGGGCCTTGGGCCAAGCCCCCACACTGCCAGGGCACCCCCACTGGCCCTCCAAGTCCCGCCTTTCTCTACAAGGAGGGCTGACGTATATATCCAGAGAGAGACTTCATGCCTTCTTCCACTTACCATGAGCGTCTTCAGGTGTCCCAGGATGAAGAGGCTGTACTTGGCTCGGGTGAGGGTGACATTCAGACGCTGCAGACTCTTCAGGAACCTGGAGAGGGCAAAACAAGCCACAGGTGAAGCTGGCTCAGGATGGGCAGTGTGTCCCCCCCCCCGTGTCCTCCTAGACGACCACCGTGGGGTTCACTAAATCCCTGCATTTGTAAGTGCACTACTAAAAGGTTGCAGGCATTCCTACCAAGGTTCCCATGTCTATGTATAATTTCAGTGGGCCTCCTCTGAGTAGAGACAACCCCCTGCTGTCATGTTTTTGCTTTACATTTCTTATTGGAGGCCCTGATTTTGATCAATTTCATTAGTGGTGAATATTTATTAGTGATGTTCATTTATACATGGTTTTTTCCCTTGCTTTGCAATATTTTAGCTTCTCTCTGCCTCCCCCATAGGTTTTTTTATGAAATACCTTTTAAGATTATAATTTAAAACACTCAAAATGGTTGTTTATCGATAGCTTTAATTATCATTTAATTCCATTGTTCCTTGGGTGCCTCCTTTATTGGACATCATTTGAGAGCAAAGTGAGAAGCTTGGGGCATAAATCTTAGAAGTCAGTCCATCATCTGCTTTTGCAATTTCAGCTACAACCCCCCCCCCCCAATGTGGCTTCCAAGCACACAGTGCCCTTCCACCCCCCCCCACCCCCAGGTGGAAAGGAAGTGGGCTGGTGGTGGGAACCAGCTTTAGACCTTAGCCACACATCCCTGCAGCACAAACCATTGGCGGATTAATATTATTTGTTGTGATTCATGTGAAAACTCTCTCGTTAATATTTCAAAACTGTGCCTGAATATTTTATTCATTCCAAAGGTGACTTGCAAAACAGAAAGGCACCATTAGCGCAGCTGTGACCTTTTTCTCCTTCTCAAAAAAAACAGGAAAAACCCAAACCTGTAAAGGAAAACCAAAAGAAGTGCAGCCCTGTTTGCCTGATTTCACCCCATCAGCCCTCCGTGGGGCCAACAATTCTGCCAGGTCACATCTGAGAGCACCAAACCCCTTGCCTGCCAGGGAGGAGAGGGGTTTGGGCTCCATTTCTCCTCTCCCCCAGTGAGACACAGCGGAAGCTCCCTCAGAGAAGCCATTTTGCCAGCATCAGGAATGGGAAGTTCATTGCAGTAAGAGAGCTGCAGTGACGAAGCTCACATGGCCTAGGCCTGCCCTCACCCCCTGCAAAGACTATTGTGGGACCACAAACCTCTCCTCTCCTGAATTCCCTTATGGGCATCGCAGGTGGCTGCAAGAATGCGGCCAGAGACCAACAGGGGCTCTAACAGACAACTGTGACTTGTGGACAATGGCCCACACACTTGACCACCCCAAGGATTGCACCCGAGCCCTAGAATTGCCAGCAGAGGCACCCCAGTTGACACATCACAAAACAACAGGAGATGTAGACTGGAGAGGTTACCAGAGTCACTGAGTGGGCTGTTGCACCTCACTTGGCCCTTCTTTAAAATGGGAATATATTCTGTATTTAACACACTGCTGTTGCATAAAGAAATGATTGGGGGTGGGGTATTTTTGTACTGACCTATCAATCTGCATACACTTCACTATCATCATCCAAGAAGAGAGGTCCCTGCCCCAGGGAGCCTACAATGTACATTTTAACAACAGGGAAACAGAGGGAGATAAGTTTTTATTTTATGAAATAAGTGCATGCAAGTCCAGCAAGGGATGGCTGCCCAAGTGTTCTTCAGCAGCAGGGAAGGCCTCAAATGAAAGGCCTCACCAGCGACATCACTTTTGAAGGAAGATAGGGAGGGTTATGGCGCACTGCAAGTGTTCTTGGAGAGGGAGTTCCAGACACAAAGGGTCAGTGAGGAAGTATCAGGGGAGTTGTTCAAAGGAACAGGAGGCCTTCCGGCCACTGAGGGTGGTAGAGATGAAGGAGTGAAGGTCTCTGGTCAGGTGTTCCAGAGAGCAGGGGAGATGGTGAGTGGAGGAGAGGCTTGTCTGCGGCTGCAAGGAGTGTGCAATCTCCACATGCAGAGGCCAGTCCACCTCTGAAGACAAGGTGCCCAGCTTGTGGGTTTCCTAGAAGCATCTGGAGGCAGTCAGGTGTAGTGGCTGGAGTGTTGGACTAGGAGCTGGGAGACCAGGCTTCAGATCCCTGCTCAGCCATGAAAGTGGGCGGCCGTGGGCCAGTCACTGCCTCTCAGCCCAGCCTACCTCACAGGGTGGTTGTGGGAATTAAATGAGGAGAGGGAGAACCATGTACGGCACCTTGAGCTCCTTGGAGGAAAAGCTGGGATATAAATGCAATGAATAAATAAACTGGAGCCTTGGCTTCATCCAGCAGGGAGATTATGGACAGACTACTGCACTTTTGTACACCACAGGGATGGGAAAACCCTGACCCTCCAGGTGGTGCTGGACAGTATCCCCCACCCCCAATAGGCCATCCTGACTGGGGCTGTTGGGAGTCCAGCAGCATCGAGAGAGACACAGCAGGTTTCCCAGCTCTGATCTAAGAATTTCACTTTTAAAAAAAAGAGCTCAGCAGCAGCAGCTTGGCATAAATATAGCTACTTGCCACTATACAAATCCAGACAAGCATCAAAGAGCACATAATTCAAGAGTAACATTTCAGAAATGGTTAGAAAGAAAGATTATTATTGTTTAAGTATCAAATCAGGTTGCCAGAAGGAGTCAGGATGGATGCCTATGATCATGTGCAGAATTTTCACTGAGTACTCACCTATAGCGCCTGAGCAAGTGTATTCTCCCCCCCCCTATAACACACACACACACACCCCGGATATGATATCCAGGTGTTGCCAGACTACAAGTCCCCCCATCCCTGACCACTGGACCTCCTGGCTGGGGCTGCTGGACTCCAGCAACATCTGGAGAGCATAGCCGACCCACCACTGGACTTGGGGGTTCTGAAAAATCCAGGATAAAGTAGAACCTTTGTCCACATTCAGGTTCATTCATTCACATTCATTCGTCCACTTCTTCGCCTGCAATGTCTGTTGACTTGAGGTGAGATAAATAACAAAAAGGTGACTACGCACATGTCAGTTTTCAAGGCACGGTTGTAGACGTAGTTAGAAGGGAAGAGGCAGATCTCAGGGTGCATCCTGTACTGAGTGGTCAAGCGCAGGACTGGAAGCCTGTCAATGACTTTATTCTGGAGCTGCACACCCAGCTGTCTGCACAGCCGCTCCATCAGAGACTGCCCGTAGCCGTATTCCTCAGCTCTCTGCCAATGGGGGAAAGAAGCAAGAGAAAGGAGGAGGAAGGAGACTTTCAGTGGGTGGGTCAGGTGCAGACAGCAACTAAAGAACAACAGGTTGCCATGTGAAATTGCTCCTTGCTCAGGGTACAGTTAACAAAAACTACTCCAAGTAGCCACAAAATTAAGGGTCTAGAATGCAATGGTCAAACTTAACCTCTCAACACATGCCACCAGATACTTGACACCATTTGAAAATTAATTCTGAACCCAATAAAACATACAAACCTTTTTTTATCTATACCCTACAAAATACTCAACAAATTAACATTGGGCAATATGATCCTGTAAAACAGTTGTGGGAATCTAATTTAGGCATTGAAATTGAAGAGATGGGTTGGAATAGGCAAGGCAAAAAAAGAAAAGGAAAAAAGGTGAATCACTCTCAACTCATATATGAGAGAATACATTTAAGCTATTACATATATGGCATCTGACCCCACTGAAATGCACCTGTATTAATAAATCACTCTTACCTTGGGATTGGCAAGGTTGTAATACAATCGGTACAATTTTCCACATGGGGTGGACAAGAGAATACGCACAGCCTTTTTGGCAAAAGGTGTTCATGTAAATAAGACACACCACAGGAGAAGTACAGTGCACACCAAGTTTAGGACTGTTAACCACTTTCAGGGAAAAACAGCTTAACCTTTACCACAGATAACTGATCACTTATTGTGGCAGCACGCCTATCGGTGACACAGAATTGGAAGAGACTGGAACATTTACGTTTTTCGCTGGAAACAAGTTTACTGTATGGACAATTGCCTTACTGGAAAAAATTGACAAGCGAGTACAAGCACTGAGCAGCACAAGAGCAGCAGATGACTTTATTGACATTTGGAATCCTTTCATTGAGTTTTCAAATGATAACCTGCACAACCGGCATCCACATACAGTACACGTGTTCTCATAACACAGAAGAGTGCACGTGCCCGCTCCACGTTATCCCCAGGAGGCAGGACACTCAGCGCACGCAGCTCCCAACGGGGAGAACGCTGGCCTGACAACTATTAAAACTTCGGGTTTCCTGCCCTCATTGCCGCCATATGCGGGGTGAAAAGAGAGTGTTACTTATGCGGCGTCCTTACCTCCTGAGACATTTCTATGTCCGTGAGGAGATGCTCTTTTTAAAATAATGATGATGTAAGGCTGTGTGTGTGTGTGTGTGTGTGTGTGTGTGTGTGTGTGTGTGTGTGTGTGTGTGTGTGTGAGAGAGAGAGAGAGAGAGAGAGAGAGAGAGAGAGAGAGAGAGAGTGTTAGGCGGCGAAGGAGCTCCTTGTGTGTTCTGTGACGGAAGCGCCTCGTAAGACCCACCTCTAAGGAGCCTTGGGAGAGCGGAAGTCGCGTGACCCAGAAGAGGAAAGGCCCGTGAAAGGAGTCGGGGGTGGGAAATGTCTGTGTTTTTGCGGTTGCTAGGCGACTTTGCGCTGAGGGGGCCCTTGCGGGCGAAGGCGGGCCAGGTGGGAGCCGTTTTATTTTATTATTTCGATTTCAGTTTTTATTATTTTGGCCGTTTTCATGCTGCTAAATCACGGCTGTCTGTATAAAAAAACCTCGATGCAACCGCAAATAGAAAATGAGTTAAAATTCATAAAAATCAGAATTCCGTTAAAATACCTGTAGGGACAGTCTTTTCCAAAGGCAGCTCCCGCATAAGGCTGCACTGCCGTTTACCTTCGGGGCCTCTCGCAGCAGCCTGACAGGTGGCAATTCAACAGGTCGGGCACGGTTCTTCGTCCCCAGCCATGCGGGTGGAAGCATCTCCTGCTAAGGTTGCTTTTAAAAACCACAAAGATGATACAGGTCAACTTCGTTTATTAATTTGGGTAGATTAATGTGTCCACTCCTTGACAAAAGCCTCTCCTAAGGGGTTTGCGTGATATTGCTAAGTTGTCATTGGTCTGGTCTCAACTCTTCCTGTGGCTCTTATGAGGGTTATTTCATTCCATTTCTTACACTTTAGATGTGTTGCAAGTTGCCTTGAGTAGCGCCGGACAAGTCTAATAAGTAATAATGTTGTGAAGTTCTTTTAACATTCAAAGTGCCTTTGAGGCACTAGGGTTATTTTCCTACACAACAGCCAGGTGAGGTAGGCCACCCACCTTTCTATGGATGAGGAAGGATGAGGATGAGAGAGAGAGTTACCTCTTTTCCTTCCCTTTTCTCTTTGTTTCTTGCCTGGTTTTTAACACTGGTATCATTGTTCATCTTTTGCAATTAACTCTTTTCCAAAAATGACATCTGAAATTCAGCTTCTTATAAGTTTCTATAATGTAAGGGGGGAATTCAATCAGCACCTTTTGTTTTGCTTTTAGCTCCCTTACTATGTCGGTGGAAGGACGTTGTTTGGATGCACCTATTTTAAAGCACCTTCTGGCCTGCTACGACCACATAAAGGTGAATAAAACACTTAATACTTCATAATATGTTGACTTAGGAGAAGCTTGTCTGCTGAAGCCTGGTTTCTGTTTTCTTAATTTTATTTGCACAGAGGAGGGTATCCAGATGGACCAAAGAAGATCAGCTTCTACTTTAGCTGGTCATATTTGCTAACCATATTCTATATTCAGGTTGCACTCCTCTATGTAGTTACCTGGGAGTAAGTTTTCTGGAATTCAGTGGGACTGACTTCTGAGTAGATATTTTAATTATATCTGTTTATTCATTTATTATTGTGACTTTTGAGTTGACATGTTCATTTTAGTTGTTGTTATCATCAAGTCATCTTTGTCGTCACCAGGTAGTTATTTATTTATTTATTTTGTATGCCTTCCTTCAGGTAAATATTACAGGGCAGTTGACCACATAAAAATACAATTGAGAACAAAAAACATAACAAGGCCAAAAAAACCCTCAATAACCCCCCCTTCCCCCTCACACACACACACACATTTAAAAGGCCATAGAATGTGAATCAGCCCAAGGCCTGGTTATAGAGAAATGTTTTCACCTGGCACCTAAAGGTCAGTATTTTTTTAAAAAAATAATTTTTATTAAAGTTTGGAAAAAGGGATACAAATAATATTATCTATTATATTTTTATCAAAACTAAGATGTTAGTCTAAATAAAAATGCAGACCAAAAAGAATAAGAAAAGAGAAAGGAGGAATAGAGAAGAGATAGAGGGGAGAAGGCAAGAGAAAGAGAGGAGAGAAAGAAAAGGAAGAGAGAAAGAAAAGAGAGAGAGAGACAAAGAAAATAAAGGAACTTTCCATTCTGTGTGCTATATATAAACATTATTCTGATAATCCACTCCAATATGTAATGAAGGTGCCAGGCATGCCTCCCTGGGGAGTGCATTCCACAAATGGGGATGCATCTGAGGCTGGTTAGGCAATGACCCATTTGCCCATATGTCTTCTGGCTACTGGCTGTAAAGGTTGGAAGCGTTGGAGATTGGTGGTTACTGCCATTTGCCATTTTTTAAACTCAGGTAGGTAAGAGAGCATCTAGGTGCATTCTCCCTTCCTTGGACCAGCAAAGTGGGTTTTTTTATATTCCAGGGCCATCTCAGGCTCCAGGCAATTGAGGAAAATATTCTGCTGATTACTGAAATGAGGCAGCGAGGGCATAACTGCACTTTCCTCATGTTTGTTATGTCAGAACCATAGCAAGTTCTGTGGATCAGCTGCATAGCATCTGCCTTGCATGCTAAAAGCCCCAGCATCTCCAGGTAAGGCTGAGAGAGACCCATTGCCTGAAACCCTGGTGAGCTGCTGCCTGCCAGGGTAGACAGTACTGAGCTAGATGGACCAAGGCCTGACTCAGTATAAGGCAGACACCTATTTTCCAGAATCACTAATACAAATAATAAGTTATTGCTGGATATTAATGAATCTGATGGTAGTGATGAACCACATACTGCACAGAGCTTCTTCCACAGATGACACAAACATTCCTCCTCCCCCCCTGTCGTTTTCCTCAGAGATTCCCCAGAGGCCTGCCTTGTCCAGGATTTCCACAGCTGCTTCTGCCAAATCTGGAGAGGATGCTGTGCTCAGGTGGGGCCTCCTCCTAATCCCCATAGCGACATTTTGCCTTGGAACGTGGCAGGTAAATGCAAACGCTGAATCTGAGGCTTTCTCTGTGAGGTCTCTTGATTCAGGGCCAGTGTTCAGAGATGTCTTCAGTTACAGCTCGTAGCCAGTGCAAGAACCTCTACTGTGAGTTGTTTCCAAAATTAGTCATTATCAAAGATTGATATTAACAGGCATTTCTATCATAGATACATTAATTTCATTCTGTTTGCCCAGTTTAACTTAATAGAATTCAGTCCAACTCATTTACTATTGGCTGATGACATGGAGTAGTTTTTATTTGAATAGAACTAATAAGCATTTGGAGTGCCGGGTGTGCTCTGGTCCATGGGGTCACAAAGAGTCCTAAACGACTAAATGACTAAACCACAACAACAACAAATAAACATTTACGGAATTTGAGAGGAGGAACCCACATTTTCCTTCAAATGTGCATTTTGTTTTGCTTTAAAGGAGGAAACAGAAAAGCTTAAGTTTTTTGTAATGCAAATACTTCTGTAGTAAATCAGCTATCCTGCCTTGGTGGGAGGGAAATTTTGTGCTGGGGAGGGCAAATGTACGTCTGGTGTTGCCCTCAAGGCCCCTAAGAGCCCTTATACCCATGTCAGATTCAACGGCGGAAATGGAAGTTGAAGTTGATCTCTGATCTGGAATCCAAGGTGGCAGCAGAACCGATCCCACTCCCAGCAGAGTAAGTATGTGAACTGGCTTGGAATCAATTACCGTATTTTTCGCCATATAGGATGCACTTTTCCCCCTCCAAAAATGAAGGGGAAATGTGTGTGCGTCCTTTGGGGCGAATGCAGGCTCCTTGGCTTCAGCGATAGCAACACGAAGCCTCCGAAGCCTGCGCTCCGGAGGCTTCGTGTTGCTTTCGCTGAAGCCAGGAGAGTCTGCTCTTTGAGGCTGGCGATGGGGGAAAGCAGCACTTCTCCCCACTGCCAGCCCCACAAGCTGGGGGGGGCAGCGGGAAGGTGCGTGACGCCTTCGCGCTACTCTCCGACCTGGTTTGGAGGCTGGCAGTGGGGGAAAGCAGCGTTTCCCCCCATCGCCAGCCCCAGAGGATCGGGGGGCAGCGGGAAGGTGCGTGACGCCTTCGGGCTACTCTCCGACCTGGTTTGGAGGCTGACGGTGGGGGAAAGCAGCGTTTCCCCCCATCGCCAGCCCCACAAGCTGGGGGGGGCAGCGGGAAGGCGCGCGACACCTTCACGCTACTCTCCTACCTGGTTTGGAGGCAGCGCTTCCCCCCACCACCAGCCCTACAAGCTCAGTCGAAAAACCCACAGGAGCCGCGCGCTCTTTAAAGGGTGCGCGGCTCCTGTGGGCTTTTTCCGGGAGATGGGGGAATTCCCCCACCTCCCGCAAAAGCACGCAGAAGCCGTGCGCTCTTTAAAGGGTGTGAGGCTTCTGCTGGCTTTTCTAGGGGGGGGGGGAATTCTCCCCCCTCGTAGAAAAGCCCACAGGAGCCGAGCACCCTTTAAAGAGCGCACCACTCTTGGGGGCTTTTCCCCGAGGAGGGACAAGGGACTGACTGGTCGTTTCAGTCCCTTCTCCCTCCTGGTCAAGAAGCCCACAGGAGTTGCGCGCGGCTCCTGTGGGCTTTTGCGGGAGGTGGGGGAATTCCGCCACCTCCCGCAAAAGCAGGGAGAAGGTCTTGGAGTAGTGCACAGGCTGCGTGCAGTCTGTCCGCTGCTCCCAGAGCTGCGGGGGGGGTCAGATTTTTTTCCTTGATTCCCCCCCCCCTGAAAACTAGGTGCACCCTATGGGCCGGTGCACCCTATAGAGCGAAAAATACGGTAAACGTGTGGAGGGTGTGTGCTGCTTTTCAAAGTGCCTGTGCCACTTTAAGCAAAGTAGCCCTTTTTATATTCTGCAGAATTTAAGTCGGTGAAGCTGTTCCTTGCCTTGGGCTGCAGCTCAGCCTCTCTTTCAAACCTGCTGCTTTCTGTCCTTTGACAGCTTCTCGGAGCTAAAGGAGTTGGAATACAGACCTGTCAAGGTCCGAGGGTATTTCATTCATGACAAGGAGCTGTACATCCTTCCACGTTCGTTGGTTGATTCAGAGAAAGAAGCCAGGGATGCTGGCCAGCTGATGTCCAATCCTGAGAGTGGTGCCAATGTCATCACACCCTTTTACTGCATAGACCTTGGGTATGTATATTAACTGACAGACAATTTGGGCCACTGCCCTGTACTCATTTACTGGCAAACAATCTCTGTTGAAATCTGGGGCACTTGGCTGAGCAGACATGCATAGGATTGTGACATTAGAGAGGATCAAGGCCCTTCAGTAAATACAGTCTGTATATATTCAGATTCTGCCTCATAACCACGAGGACCTGAAATGTTCTGCACTGTTTTTATTTAAGTCATTCTCTGGATTCTGTAAAAGGAGTCATAGCTTGTTTCAGAATGTACTTAAACCTGTGATGATCCGTTTTTGTTTTTTAACTTTTCCAAAAGTATAAGTGAAATTACATGAATTTAATTATAGGAGATAGGCATATCTCCTATTATCAAATGTATGTAATTTCACTAATATGTCTGAATTTTGCCTAGCATAGGTTTATTTCACGTTGATAACAATGTCTGAACCGTCATAACGTAAAATGTCAATTTTCCAGGCACCTGACCATGTTAGTCTGTTGCAGAAAACAACAAGAAAGAATCCTGTATCTTCAAGGCCAACAGATATCTTCTGCCCTAGAACCTACTCTAAGGTGCATGGGCTGGTTAGCTAAGTGAGTGGATCTACTCTGAGCACAGAGAGGAGAGAGAAAAACCATTGCTGTGGAGTCAAAAGCCAAGTTACATGAAAGAGAACTGTTAGTATGTTAACAGTACTATGTAGGGCACTCATAATAGAATCCAAACAGAGTCCAATCAAATTGCCACAATGCAATGTTGATGGCTGTGTTCTTAACTCTTCCCAGCTGGCTAGCAAAAATAAGTTTTATATAAATGGACTTGTGAGTAAGCCAAATTGAATAAATGATGCTTGCTTCTGAGTTTAGAATTACAATGTTTGGTGCCTTACAGCAGAAGTGGACCCTCCAGATGTTGCTGAAGTACAACTGCCATTGGCTCCAGCCAACATACCCAACAGCCAGGGGTACCTGGAGTTGTAGTTCAGCCATGATCTGGCATGCCAAACATTGTCCACTCCTGCTTTAGGGGGCTGGGATGCTTCCATGCTTACAGAGTTTATTGTCTTCTCTCACTCCCTTTCCCCCTGACCCTGCAGGATCACAATCCTTGTCAACAGAGGGTTTGTCTCCAGAAAGAAACTTAAGCCAGAGACTAGGTTGCGAGGACAGGTAGGTAGCAAGGGATGGAAACTACCACATTATATATCATAAGATATTGTGTTCTTTTTTTAAAGGACAGAAACTGCTATTTGACTCTTCCTTGTAGATCGAAGAGGAAATTGAGCTCACAGGGGTGGTGAGGCTGTCGGAAACCCGCAAGCCATTTGTTCCAAAGAACGACATTGAAAGGAATCGTTGGCATTACCGGGACCTGGATGCCATGGCAAGAGTGACAGGAGCTGAGCCCATCTTCCTTGATGCAGACTTCAGTGAGTTCCCCAAGGACCTGGCTATGTAGTCTTGGCTTTTAATAGGAGTGGACTGCAACAGGCTCCTGACTTTGGGCCCCATCTGCATTTAAAACAGTATCATACCACTTGACACGGTCATGGCTTCCCTCAAAGAATTCTGGGAACTGTGGTTTGTTAACAGTACTGAAAGTTGTTAGTAGCCCCCTCTTCCTCTCCCAGAGCTACAGCTACTAGTGGTTTAATAGTCAATCCCTCTTCCCAGGGAACTCTGAATCATAGCTCTGTGAAGGTAAGTTGGGATGGGTGATATATCGATACTTTGTTCCTTACCAATATGAACTCCAGACCACAATCAAGGTTTCATATTTTTTCACCCTGTAATATATTGAGAATGCACTGCCCAGCTGGTCTTGCAGGCAGCAGGCAGAAAGCAGCACTTTACTGCAAGGTAAAGCCAAGTTTACTGCAAAGTAAATGGCCATTTCCTGCCTGCCCAATCTGTTTCCCCACATAGGATCCACTTGTGTCCCTCTGGCTAGGCAGAATAGAAACCCAGCATGGTATCAAGCTAAGCAGGGTATTGGGGTCTCTACTCTGCCTAACAAGAGGCATGGTGTGTGCCTTAAAGCCCCATGGATCTTATCGGGAGGAAAATAAAATTTGTTTGCTTATTGGACTCTTCATTCCTCAGCCGTGCCGTGGGAAGGAGATTCCAATCAGCAAACAAAGTTTCTTCCTCGTGACTTGGCTCCTTCTTGTATTCAGGCAAGGAGGCATCAATTTACTTTTGCAGCAAAGGGCTTTATGCATTTGGAAACTAAGGTGCAGACATTGCTGATGACTAGGCTGCTGTCAGTTCAAATTTTAATTGCTGGTTTTAGATATATTGTCATGTATTTTAAGTATTGTTTTTAACCAGTTTGTTTTTATTATTCTTTATTCTATGACTGATGTTTTTAAATGTTGTAAGCCGCCTTGAATTCCAACTTGGCAGGATATAAATACATTACATAATAAATAAATAAAATAATATGAGAGGCAATGGGGTGGAATCCATGTACATTATTCTGAGGTTTTTTTGGAGGATGAACACTATACAGATTTAGTAAGTAACATATATTTTGACATCTCTTTTTTATTGGTTTGGTTCAATATTAAGAATATTTTTAACTAGGATGTTTTTTACACATTAAAAATATATAAGACATATATCTACCCTAAATTATAGAGTAGTATTGAGTAGAGCTACACACATGCAGAGCTACATACACGCAAGAATGAATTTCAGTGGGGACAAATGTGAGGTTCTACACTTAGGCAGGAAAAACCAACTGCACAAATAAAAGATGGGGGACACCTGTCTTGCCAGCAGTACATGTGAAAAGGATCTAGGGGTCTTATTAGGCCACAGCCTCAACATGAGGCCACAACCTCAACTGTGTGATGCAGCAGCAAAAAAGCCAAAGCTATTCTAGGCTGCATCAACAGAAATATAGTGTCTTAGTTCCGCTCTATTCTGCCTTTGTCAGACCACACCTGGAGTACTGTGTTCAGTTCTGGGTGCCACAATTTAAGGATATTAACAAGCTGAAACAGGCGGAAAGGAGGGCAACCAAGATGATCAAGGATCTGGAAACCTAGCCTTATGAGGAACGGTTGAGGGAGCTGGGTATGTTTAGCCTGGAAGAGAAGACTGAGAGGAGATAGTGTAGCCACCTTCAAATATCTAATGGGGTGTCACATGGAAGATGGAAGCAGCATGTTTTCTCCTGCTCTGGAGGGGGCAGGATCTGAATGGAGTTCCACTTAGTTTAATGCCACTTATGTCAGAGCGCGGGTGGCACTGTGGTCTAAACCACAGAGCCTAGGGCTTGCCAATCAGAAGGTCGGCGGTTTAAATCCCCGCGACGGGGTGAGCGCCTGTTGCTCGGTCCCTGCTCCTGCCAACCTAGCAGTTCGAAAGCACGTCAAGTGCAAATAGATAAATAGGTACTGCTCCGGCGGGAAGGTAAACGGCGTTTCCATGTGCTGCTCTGGTTCGCCAGAAGCGGTTTAGTCATGCTGGCCACATGACCCGGAAGCTGTACGTCGGCTCCCTTGGCCAATAAAGCGAGATGAGTCGGTCATGACTGGACCTAATGGTCAGGGGTCCCTTTACCTTTATGTCAGAGCCAGGTGTGGATTGGGTAGAGCATCCATTTGGTTGGTTTGCTATGCTATACAAAGGGTGAAGTCGGACAGGGAGTTACACAGAAAATCTGAGCATGGGAGAGCTGTGGCAAGGAGAGTGAGATGGGAGTGGGAGTTGAGAGCAGACTACATAGGTTTTCACTTATTACATAAAAGTAAGCTGCCCCTGGTGTTTGAATTTCTTTTCTAAAGGCTCATATTGCATCTGGTTCTGACTCACTGCTGTCTCTCTCTTGTAACCACAGAAAGCACAGTTCCAGGGGGGCCCATTGGAGGCCAGACGAGGGTGACGTTACGCAACGAGCACATGCAATACATCATTACCTGGTAAGTGACAAAACATTTGGGGTTTTATCTAGAGCTGGGCGATATTTGAAAATCATGATGCAGGAAAAGCTGTGAAGCCAGCTAATGCTTCTTTATAGCTCCATCCTTATTTCAGACATGGTGATATGTCTGTATATTGTGATGTTTAGCTGGTGACAATATTAAATGCAATATTAAATAAAATAAAGCAGGATATAGAAAAATCAAGATTTTTTTTTTAGCAAAACCCCCTAAAGATAAAACATTGAGTCAAAATATAAAATTATTGCAAATGCAGCTTTCAGCATTGCTAAATAATGAGATTGAAAACAACATCAAATGGATGAAACAAAGATTCTTTGAAGCAGGGAATAGACCAGGACGACTACTCGCATGGCAAATAAAGAAAAAATGAAAAGAAAGTCAGATAAATAGAGTACGAAGGGAAGGTTTATGAAACGGAAGATGAAATCAATAAATGTTCTGTAAAATACTTCACAAAACTATATAAAAGAGGGTCAGAAACAGAACAAGAAATTGCAGATTACTTCTCAAAGAGGAAAATACCTAAAATAAGCAAAGAGAAAGTGGAACAGTTAAATGCCCCAGTTACGGTAATGGAATTACACCAAGCAATTTCTAGTTTGAAAATTGGTAAAGCTCCTGGCCGAGATGGACTAACGTTGATCCACTATAAAAAATTTGAAGATAACATAGTCCTGCCTTTAAAAAATCTAAAGTTATCAATAGGAGGAAGAGTTTCCATAATAAAAATGAATGTCCTTCCCAAAATGCTCCTTCTCTTTCAAACAATTCCCATAATATCTAGAGAAACATGTTTCGAGGAGTGGTGGAAAGATATGACAAAATTCATATGGCAAAATAAGAAAGCTCGCATAAAATTTAAGCTCCTGACAAAAAAGAGAGGGGAGGTCTGGCATTGCCAAATTTAAAATTATACTATGAAGCAGAATGCCTTGTATGCCTGAAAGAATGGATCACTTTGGAAAAAGCAGATTTATTAAGACCTGGAGGGCTTTAACACGCCTACCTCACATATGATAAGATCAAAGTCCATAAAGGCTTCAATAGTCACCTAATTAGGAACGCATTATTTAACGTCTGGAGTAAGTACAGAACGAGACTGGAGCCAATGACACCATGGTGGCTCTCACCTCTAGAAGCCCATGCCATGAAAAAACTAAACATGAGTAAGGAATGGGCAACTTACAGAGATTTGATAATGGAAGATCAAGGTAAACTTAGAATAAGACCGTATGAGGAAATAAGGCATTATGTCTCCAACAGAGGGCAATATATACAACTTGGAAGTGTCTTTAACTCGGACTCGAAGAGAGGCTTTGCTAAACAGAATTCATTAATGCATGAAACATTATTAAAAAAACAAAAAAAGTTCTATCTAAAATGTATAACCTTTTGCTAGATTTGGACATGATTGACGAGGAAGTGAAAGAGACAATGATTAAATGGGGGCGAGACTTTGGCCACAATATATTTAGAGCAATGGAAGAAACTTTGGCAGAAAGATATAAGGTTTACCGCCTATAGTACAATAAAAGAAAATTTCATCAAAATGTTATACAGGTGATATTTAACACCAGTCAAATTAGCAAAAATCTATAAACTGAAATCTAACCTCTGTTGGAAATGCAACAAGGAAGCTGGTACAACAATGCATTTGTGGTGGAGTTGCACCCCAGTTAAGTACTTCTTGGGGGAAATACATGAGTTGGAAAAAATGCATAAAATCCCAGAGGCTTACCTACTGGGCCTTTTAGGAAAATACCGAAATCGAAAAAAAGAATTTTCTTATACATGACCACTACAGCCAGGATAGTAATAGCATCTAAATGGAAAGCTAAAAAACTACCTACCAAGGAGGAATGGATTCTCAAATTAAATGAATATTTAAAATTGGCTAAATTAACAGCATCCATACATCAGCAGTCAAATCAAAAACTAAAAAATGAATGGCAATGCTTTGATGGTTATATGACAAAATATTGCTCTAAAAAAGACATGCTAATAGATTAAGAATGTAAATGCATCAAAACAATAAATTATCAATGACATATGTACAGTGGTACCTCAGGTTACAGACACTCCAGGTTATGGGTTTTCAGGTTACGGACGTGCCAAAAAATGGAAGTACTGGAACAGGTTACTTCCAGGTTTCAGCACTCGCGCATGCACAGAGACACCCAATCACAACCCGCATGTGCGCAGATGCGGCGCTGCGGGTTGCGAACGTGCTTCCCACACGGATCACGTTCGCAACCCAAGCGTCCACTGTATGTATATAGAGAAAATAAAAACAATCAGAATGCAATAAGGATAAAATTGATTCTAGAGAAGATGAGTAGTGGTGGAGGGAAGTTAAACAGGGTGGTGGGTTTATTTTATTTTATTTTGGATAGTGTATAATGATTTAATGTTTCTTTTCTGTTATGTTTTTTTTTTAATTAAATTGTATGACGGAACATCTAAATAACAAAAAACAAAAATCCTGATTCTCATCAAGGCCACCATCAAAATAAGTAAAGTGCACGGATGTATATTTTGCAGTTTCCATGATTCTGGTTCTCTCTTGAATTTTTGGGAAATGATTGGTTATTAAATGGCCAAATCAATGTGCCAAATGAAAGCAATGATGCATTGCAGGGGTTACACTAGATGACACTTGGGTAGGGTTGCCATGTCTGGGAGTTCCCAGACATCTTCTTTTAGTGGACAAAAGGCTCATTCAGGGGTACTTATAAATTTTAAAGGAAATGTCTGAGTTGGGGGGACAGTTTTTATTTTGCCTGACTCAGGCTGCTCTGCACACCCTGGCTGCTGCCAGCCTGAGCCAGGAGAGGCGTACAGGCATGCATTCCCTGGCTGCCGCCAGCCCAAACTGTGTGGCCATGGCCCTGCACACCCCTTTCCCCAGCTCGCTGTCCTCTTTGTACTCATTATGTGGCAACCCTTTGCATACATTTCTGACCCTAAAATTGTGTGCCCTTTGCAGGTTAACCTTGTGTCTTAACACTAGCTTTCTCCCTTCTTTGCAGGTATGGTTTGTGTGCAGCTACCTCTTACATGTGGTACAAGAAATTCATTCAGAAGGTTCACCTCTAAGACTTACAACTCCTTGGTGCAAGCTTGGCTTCAAAATGCTCACAGGAACTGCAGCCAGTCTCTGAGGTCACTATACAGAGGAACAGTCCTTCTGACTTGATTGCAGCACTTCAGTGACCAGAGCAAGCAGACCCAAGCAAGGAAGACTCCTGTGTTCTGCTGAGAGTCGGCTGCAATATATTAGAGCTGCAGTCTTGAATTCAGTAGGACTCACTTCTGGGTAGGCATGGTTAAGGGAGGAATTAGGATGATGGGGGCCTTAACAGGGAGGGTGAAAGCCTTTCAAATTGTAGTGCTTATCTTGGGTTGCTTAATGCTATGTAATCAGAAATGACATGAAGGAAATAAGGATTCAAGAGTATTAGTGTTTGTGCAAGTAATCAGCATGTTGCTGATACAATATGATGCAAAGTTCCATGTCATGAAGTAGTAAATAAATCATGTCGCATATACAGCTTTGTTTCTTCTTGGCAACAATAATGACATCAAGTCCCTATCAAAACGAAGTATTGTAAACTTCTGAAGTTCATAGTTGCAGGGTATTTCAATTGCAGTCTCCCCTGTGAGCTGATCAATTTCTGTTGTCTTGTCAAGGCAGCTTATGAAATGTTCTAGAACCCAATATACTTGCAGCTAACATTGGCCAAAGCTCCATGAAGGTGTTGTTTGAGCTTTCACACCTGCAGAGATAAGCTTCCAGGGTGCTCATTATTGGGGCAAATCTTAAATTCTCCCCCTTGGGACAGAAAATGGAGAAAGGAACGCTGGAATATATTCTTCTTAGGTGCTATGGAATCCCCCTTCACTAGACAAGGCTACCAGAAGACATAACTGACAGAGCACCACACTCTAATCACTAAAAACTTACAGAAAACTAGAACACAATATTTTTTTTTTTGCAGTATTTTATTTTTATGGGAATAACTTCTTGAGGAAAATCTGATACATCTATCCAAGTTTAGTGGCCAGTTCTTTAGCCTTGGCTTTTTCAAGCTTAGCAATGCGGGCCACTGACTTCGGCCCCAGAAGATTGCCGCCCCAGTGACGACGAATCTGGAAGGAAAAAAGATTGCACACATGTCAAAGTGACTTACAAAACTTACAATTAAAATTTAGATTAAATGGTACAATTTGAGGATTTAACATTCACAGCAATAACCTGAGTGTCTGCTTTTAAGTACAAATTAGATGCAAAAACCACTACTGGAACAGAGACTCAAATCAACTCCACTTCCTACATTACAGCTGTGCTCTAACAAGTAGCAACAGTTTCAAACATTTTAGTACTATAGACACAGACTCTGGAATATTGCTAACGGGCTGTGTAACCCAATGGTGGCTCAAGTCCTTTTCTCCTGTGGGCATTTATAGATTCTCAATCCTGTTATCTTGCCCAAAATATTTTTAGATGCTACCAGCTCAGTGGGTCAACATGATACTGCTGTTCGCTCACATTATTTCTGCTACACCATGAGGGAATTCTCTACACAGGGCTGGAATGAATTTTCATATTGGAGGCTGCTAGCAAGCCATTTCTGATTTCAGCAAGCTGAACAGTGGTCATGCCACTGCAAGGGAGAGGGGCACTTTCCAAAAGCCGACAAATTAGTCAATATACCCACAGATCCTATAGCCACAATCTTACCTCATCGTATCTCTCATTGTAGTTGGTCTTGACAGCTTCCACGAGTTTAGCTAGAGCTCCCTTGTCCTCGCTGCAAAGGAGAAAACAGATTCAAAAAGTCAGCAATTGAGTCTGAGTTATCCAAGTAGACTACAATTTAAAATACTGCTTTAAGTGCCACTTTTCAGGACAACGTTCTCTTAAGGGGCCCCACAAAAGTTCATTGAGCTTCAGCAGTTGTGTTCATTCAATTCACCAAGGCCAGATGCGGAAGGAGGAAAGGCTTTAGCAGCTGTTTAGCTTGCAGTTAAAAGTGTAACTGCCCCAAACCACACTAGCCTCTTCGGTTTCTTCATTTGAATTAGAAAATAGGTGAAAAATGTTTTCAGGGCTACTTACGGATTAACCTGAGTGAAGGCAACACAGGTACAGGTCTTTCGGTGGACAAGGCGGCCCAGCCTTGCCTTGCCTTTGATGATGCAATAGGGCACTCCCATTTTTCTGCACAAGGCAGGCAGGAAAACTACCAGCTGGATCAGAGAGGGGAGAAGAAATGCTTTAAAGTTGGCGGTGGTTCAGTTTTTAATACAATAGGAATGAGGAACTGTGGCCCTCCAGACTTCACTGGACTCCTAATTCCCATCGGCCCCAGTGATTAGGGGTAATGGGAGCAGGAGTCTAATATCAGTGCTTTCCCCATCCCTGCTTTACAACAAGGGCTCTGGCAATTGCTCAGGGTTAAAAAGCTCGTATAATTTTGCTCTTCACAGATAGGGGTCAGGTGAAGAAATTCAAACATCATTGCAAAAGCCATACCCTGCTCTATAAAGAGTAAAGTTTGAAGATTTGTTAACAAGACTCAGTGATGTCTTCCAAAGTAAGTTGTACAGCCAAGCACATTTCAACAGTCACCATAGTGGCCTGGCAACATTAAGAATTATCTAGAGCAGGAATGGGTGACCATTTTGTTCAAGTTAAGGAAAGAAACAGCAGAAAACACCCGTGCCTACAAGAATGCAGTGGCTGCTATTCATTTTTTAAAAAGACACTTAGCAGCATAAATCTGAGCTTTCAGGCACAAGACCCCAACTCTTGCACCTCCTTACCTCAACGGGGTCTACATCGTGTGCGATCACCACCAGCTGCGCCTTCTTGTTCTCCACCAGAGTTGTAACGGTGTTGACACCTGCAGAAAAAGTCAGTTAACTTGAGTGTGCTACAAAACTTTATGTTTTCCCATGTAAAAAAAAAAAATCCGGAGCTCCCTGCATGTGGAAAAGCACAGTGGCTCAAGTGATGTTAACAAAGCACCAAGCTGCCAGCTTTTCCTAGCCATGTCAAGGACTAGCAAAGGAAGGGCCTGCTACCGCTCAGGGTTAAAAAGCTCGTATGTTTTGCTCTTCAGTCTGCAGTTCAGGTGAAGAAATTCATACATCATCGCGGTAGCCAGTGTGATGCAGTGGTTACCTGGGTGAAACCAGGGTTCAAACCCCAACTCAGCCGTGGAGCTCACTGGGCAACCTTGGGCTAGTCACTGTATTTCAACCCAGCCTTCCCTACAGGGTTGTTTGCGAGGGTAAAATGAGGAGGGGGAGAACCATCTATGCCATCTTGAACTTTTTGGATATCAACACAATAAATAAATATGGCCAGCTGTTCAAGCTTTCAATCAACCAGCTTAAATGTACAAATATAAAGTAGGAAGGTTACCTGCTCTGAGCACAGGAGGCCTCTTGGTAGGGACGTCGCCTTTCCCTGCAGCCTTTTGCTCTGCACGGGCCAGCAGCCTCTGCTTCTTCTCTTGCTTCGTCTCAGGCCTGTATTTGTGGGCCAATTTCAGAAGCTGAGTAGCTGTGGAAGACAACTAGAACCGTTTAGAGGAAAGCCTCTCTAACACCATGTTCCCATTATCCCCCTTCCCTAAAGGACATGACTTTTGTGCATCAGCGATCTTGGTGGTTGGGAGTCATCAAGGAAGCTCAGATAGCAAATATTTTGCTAGCATCATCTGCACACAAAGAAAAACCCTTTCTTACACTTGAACTTCCCCCGCTTTCCAGCAAGCTCCCAAAACATGGGGTGCACATTCAATTCAAGGAGTCTGAACAGCTACCCCACCTCCTTCTGCAACCCCACCTTAGAACCAAGGAAAGGAGCCGGCCTTCACCTGTCTGGCGGTCCAATGCTTGAGTGAACTGGTTAACTGCTGGAGGCACCTTCAGCCTTTTGTAGAGGATGGCTCTTTGGCGCTGAAGTCTGATATAACGAGGCCATTTCACAAAGCGAGTCAGGTCCCGTTTGGGCTGAATGTCCTGCCCTGAAAGGCAGAATAACAATTCAAAATAACTGCTTCCTTAGCAATTACTGGTTATCCTTTTTTTATTCCTGGTTTTCAGCCCAAAGCAAAGGTGGCAGGAGCATCAGAGATCTTGGTGGATAAGATTGTCAGCAGCATCACTCAGATAGCAAATATTCTTTTGCATCATTTGCTCACAGCCCAGAGAAGCTTGGTCTTCCGAAACATATTGGAAACACCAGGCCCTTCTAAATGCCTGCCATAAAGTTTGCTACTACATAGATCCTAATTTAGATAGAAATCCACTGATAAAGAAAACATATTTAGCGAGACAAGCAATTAAGAAATATATGATAGATTTAAATTTAATAGATCTGTGGAAACTAATGCTCCCTACTACCAAGGGAGAATTCACTTCAGTTTCCTATCACCAGTGCATCAGAACTTCTTTCAATTAGACCAATTTTTAACGTCTTTTGCTACAGTTGCAATATGGATAATGCTTTTTTGATACACATACTTTTACAATGTTTCACTCTTTAAATTTTGTGTTGGATTATACAAATATGTTACTGAGGAATTTCAGATTATCAGACGGGCATATTCTTTTGAATGATATCCCCCTGTACCTATTGTATGGAAAGTGACAATGGGACAGTAAAAATAGATTCTGCATGCCCTAATGGTGGCTAAGGGACCGATAAACTGGAAGAATAGTTTTAATTCTCCATAATCAATAGCTTGATAACATGGCAATATTAACAACACATGAACAACCACTTATAGATGCACTTTCTTTGGATAAATATATTTGGAACGAGTTTATACAGAAAATACTAGGTTACTGATGAACATATTTGTAACAGAATACTAAGGCTATACATTAGTCTTAATATGTACAGAAACCTAATTGAGTATTTTTCTTTTCTTTTAATCCTCGTTCACGTTTTCCTTTTCTAATCACTTTTTTAAAAAATGAAATTCTTCCAATGAAATATCAATTTAAAAATTGCTACTGCCTAAGGCCTATACAGACATTTAAGATTAGATCCCTCCTCAATGATCAACTGATGCTTGCTTTAAATTATTTTACTTTAAACTTGCTTTTAATTTTTCTTCAAAAATGATTTTACTGTATGGTTTTATGCTGTTGCATAACCTCAGCAATATATTTCTAGGGTACAGCAGCACATAAATACTTGTTATAAATAGACAAATAGATAGTAACTGGTCAAAATGCAACAAAACCAGCAGTATTCCCCATACACAGGTATTTTAGAGACAGGCGTATTTCCCACTTCCCGTGAAAGCAACTTTACTCCTGTTTAGGCTCCATAACGGATCAACAGGGCTGCAGAGACCCATCATTCCAACCCCCAATTCCCTTTTCCAACTCACCAATGCCGAAGTTCTTGGGCCTTTTCTCAAAGAGAGGATTTACAACCTTCTTGGCCTCCTGTTTCTTGACCACGGCAGGGGCCGGAGCCACCTTCTTCCCCTTGGCCTTCTTCCCCTTGGGCTGCGTAAGTTGAAA